CTGCACCGTTGGAGGGGTCGCACAGGGGCGACAGGTGGCAGGTTGCAGGTGAGGCAAGGTGGAGAAGGAAGAGAGGAGACGAACCCCTGTGGAGGGTTGGAGCGACTCGTTTTCTTAGTTTTCCTCGATCCTCCCGCGAGGAGTTCGCGTTGTTCGCCGTGGATTTGAACCGCGTGGCCCACGTACCCGCCTCAAGGTGAGAGAAAAAGTCGAGGGTTGGTTGGATTTTCGAGTTTGGAATTCGAAATTCTTTCTTCTCCGTCTTTTGGTTTTAGAGTCGATGGAATTGATTTTGTTGTTGGCAGAGGGTTGATTGATGATGACTATAGTCTTTTGATTAATTTGATAATTTTTCTTTTCTTTTTTTTAAATTGGAATCGAGATTTGGAAATTTATTAGTCATATATTATAGTGAGTAGATTTTGAAGAAATTGTTTTATATTTGATATTTTTGATGAGAGATTGATGATTGAAGTTTTTGAATGTTTGGTGATTTTTTTTTCTTCATTGGAATAATAGAATTTTAAATTTATTAGTGATAATATACTAGTGTAGTAGATATGAAAATTGGAAAATATTGGATTAGTCGTATATTATAGTGAGTAGATTTTGAAGAAATTGTTTTATCTTTGGTATTTTTGATGAGGGATTGATGATTGAAGTTTTTGAATGTTTGGTGATTTTTATTTCTTCATTGGGAATGGAATAAGAGAATTTTAAATTTATTAGTGATAATATACTAGTGTAGTAGATATGAAGAAATTTGTGTCTGGTATTTTTGATAGGAAATTGATAATGGTCTTATGGTTTGATTATTATGAAGTTTTTAGGAATTGGAGTGAAAGAATTTGAAATTTATGTGATTGGTCGAATGGAATTGATTTTGTTCTTGGTACTTTGGATAGGGGGACTGATAACAGGAAGTGACAGGTTGAAGCTGAAATGAGAGAATTTGAAATTTATCAATAATAGTATATTAGTGTAGTAAATTGGAAGAAATTGTTTTATCTTTGATATTTTTGATAGGGGGATTGATGTCTATATTCTGATTTGATTGAGGTTTTGAATGTTTGCTGATCTCTTTTTTGATTGGAAATGGAATTTGATATTTATTATGCATCTTGAAAATTGAAGGAAATTGTTTTATTTTATTTTCCATGGGGAGTTGATGATAATGTGTTCTAATTATTAAAAAGTGATTTAGATTGGGATTTTTGAGCGTTTAAAAGAATTTAATCATCCATAAGAACTGAAAGGTTAAGATTGAGAAATTTTAAGATTTTTTATATTCTTTTCTCTCCCACTATTTGAGACTAGAAATAATATTAATTTAGATTATATTTGTGCAGTTGTTTGAAGACTTATAAAGTTGAAAGAATTTCCAAAATTCGTAAAATTGAGAAATTTATTAAAAATTTATTAAAATCATAGAATTTCAATGAGTTGTGATCGATTTGCATGTAATAATAAAATGTCTAACAATCTTTTAGTGATCAAAAATTTATGACCACGAAATGTAATTTCTATTATTTGTGGTTTCTATTATTTGTGGTCTTTTTATCTATGGTCTTTTCAGAAAAGTTAGTGGAATCACAAAACATAATCGTTTGTGGTTAGTCCATTTGTCACGCAAAAATTTGTACAACTTGTTGAAGGGTTAATAAATGGGTAGCACAATCAAGTTAGAGTATTAAAGAGAAAAATATTTTAATAGTTTTCATTCATATTTCTTATTTTTAATTATAAAATTTATTACAAATTATCCAAGTTTCTTAATATTTTTTATTCAACAAGAAAATTTCTTCAAAATGCTAAATAAAGATTTTTCATTTGTACTTCACTTGAAATTAATTCTCTGCTATTTCATAGTAGATCAAAATTTTATAAAATTTCATTTCTTCTATCTACAAATATACATGGAATCAACAAGTCATATCTTCCTAATTCTCAAGAATAAAAGAAAAAGAAAAACAATGTTTAATCAAAAAGCAAAGTTAAATTTAAGTTAAATAATTATTTAAATTAATTTTCATAAATAAAAAAAGAATCTTATCATAACTCAACAACAAACAATGTTCATTTCTCCACTCGTTTGCCAACTTTATTCTTTTAATTTCCAAAGAAAAATTGCAAAACTTGCGAAATTCTATCACATTATGGATTATAGACTACGATTCTGTATTTCACAAACTGAAAATCTCATCAATAATGTGACGACAGATGCGAAATTAAACATTGCCCATTAATTATAGCTCAAGGGCACAAACTATGATATATCAACCAATTATAAAACTATACATACTTAAACTAATACATACTTAAAACTATACTTCTTATATATGTTCCATTAAAGGAGATATTATACATGTTATAAATAATATATTTAATTAATATATTAATATATTAATATAATATTTATAATATTTAATATTTATATTAATATATTTATATTAATTATAAATTTTTATCTCTTTATAATTTAACTTATAAATTGATATTAATTCATTCCCTGCAATTTATGTCCATCTTTGTCT